CCCCATTTTCTAAATTTATGAATATATCATTCTAGCTCAAAGACTCAGTCTATTTACTTATTCCAGGATACTGACGGGGTAAAATAAGTTAAACAATACCAATTCTGCCACGAAATCGCTTAGTCCCCATTTTAAGATTTTTTGGCAGGGTCCCCAGATCGAAGTCCAAACACGTGTGTGTGTGTGTGTGTGTGTGTGTGTGTGTGTGTGTGTGTGTGTGTGTGTGTGTGTGTGTGTGTGTGTGTGTGTGTGTGTGTGTGTGTGTGTGTGTTTGTTAAAATAATACCAAAGAGATCAGATGAATTGTGTTGGAAGGATATGTAAAATGAACGAAACGATTCTTTAATTGATATTTTATTATCAAAATAATGAAAGAATGATAGATGCTGCTGATGAGAACTTCTGATCGATTACTTCTTAGAATTCTCGTCTGAACCCCATTCCTGAGTTTCTGGTGAATTGTAAACGCTATAAAGAGGAACTAAAGCTGGATACAGATTTGAAGGAAGCAGAAAAGGAATATCGAGTTCTTCTGCAGAAAGCCAAGAGGCCCGAGTACTCGGTATTTCTTCTGTTTTTTTAATTATTCAGGTGTCATTTGACCTTCACATCGAAGTACGGTGTATTTAAATTTGAACCTGCTTTGACAACTGAGTTTTTTTAAGGTCAGACGACACGTTCCTAAAAAATATATCATAATTTTCCCTAAGGTCAGACGACACGTTCCTAAAAAATATATCATAATTTTTCGTAAGAATTTGTCATTGAAGTATAGGTACTTAAACAGGTTTCCTCATCAAAAAAAAATTTGGGTACCTACCAAGCATTTGGCCAAAAAACCATAGGGTCATATTTCTTATATAACCCTTATTTTTTAATCTTCTAAATGGCTTATAACACAATTTTTGGTGCACTTATGTTTAAAAACATATTAAATACAATGTAGAAATAAGAAGAGAATGACAAATATGAATAATATTCGATATAATACCAAGAGATACAAAACATATATTTGAGTCGTCTGATCTTAAAACGTTAAATGAAAATAAAAAAAATCTTTGTGGTAGTACATTTATTTTATATAATTTTTTAATGTCATATAGAGAGATCGATATGAACAAAACTAATTTTATAAGACCGTTCTTGTACTTTGAACTGTCTCCTTAAACAGAAAACTAGACCTCATTACGAACGAAATCTTTTTGACATCGAAAGAAGAAGTCAAGCACCAACCCTCTACGATGTTTTAAATATTGTCTCCAAAAGATATCCTTACACCAAGTGGAAAAAAGCCATGTCGGAATTCATTGGTTTGACACCTATCCAGCCAAGTTTGCAGGTACTTTTTAGATATCGTTTTGTAGACATTCAGTGCTATTTGGAAATTAATATATTGAAATTAACAAACCCAGCAGAGTATCCTGATTGATTGATGAGGAAAAATTGGATCGACTCTATTTAAAGAGAGATCAATTCTGCCTTTGACTTTTAGAAAGGAGTTTAGAAATAAATGCGCATAGATAATTTTTTTCTACATCATTGATTTTAGAAAAAAAGAAAAGGGAGTTTCTCCACTTATACATATCAGGGTAGATAATGTCTTAACCCTCACGATAAAGTGTAATTAAATGAAGAATATAAATCAATTGCATTTAATTATTAAGGTTTTTTTTTAAATTAATAAATATATAACGTTTTTCAAATATAACAAGGGATAACCTTAGCCCCTTTTATTCTATTAACATTTAAAATATTTGACGGCTGAAATTCATAACTTTCACTTATTATTAATTTTTTACATACATTTTTAGCTCAAGTGAGCTTTTCTGATCGCCGTTGTCCATCGTCCGTATAGTTGTCCGTCCGCCTGTAAACTTTTCTCATTTTCAACTTGTTCTCAAGAACCATGGGGCCAATTTAATCAAACTTGGTACAAAACATCCTTGGGTGATGGGGAGTTTAGATTGTAACCTTGAAAAGTTCCCTTCCAATGGGAAAAGAAAAGACAAAAATAGGGTGGGTCAATAAAAAATCTTCTTTTCAAGAAACACTGAGCCAAAAAGCTGAAACTTATTTGGAGGCATCCTGGGGTAGGGTAAATTCTAAATTATTACAATCATGACCCCCGGGGGTAGGGCAGGGCCATAATAGGGGATCCAAGTTTTACTTAGAAATATATAGGAAAAATCTGTAAAAAAAATCTTCTCAAGAACCACTAGGCCATAAAAGCTGAAACTTATGTGGAAGCATCCTGGGGTAGTGTAGATTCTAAATTATGAAAATCATGACCCCCAGAGGTAGGGCGGGGCCACAGTAGGAATCCAAGTTTTGAATAGAAATATAGAGGTAAAACTTTAAAAAAAAAATATGTTATAGAACTGCAACACCAAAGTTACTCAGGTGAGCCATGTGGTTCATTGGCCTCTTGTTGATTTGTACTGCATGAAGGCAAAACGTAAATTTTGCAGTATTATAAAAAAAATCTTGGTAGTAAACACAAGAATGTTTCAATAAATTTAAATCAGGTGTTTTTAATTAATTACTAATGAAAATCGCTAATCTAATCGTCCTATATTTTTGTCTATGGAATTTTTTTTTTCAATTTTCACTTAAAGGTTTTAACTGCCAATGAAGTTCAGGTGTTCATTCCAGTTACATTCACAACAAAACGTGAAGAGGAATCATAAAAACCGAACGTGAATAAATGTGACAAAGAAATAGTTGATAAAAGAGAAGAATGGAAGAATATTGTGTCTCCAGCTGTTATAATTGTACATTGTATAAAATTCATGTACACTGTCGTTTGTATGCCCTCACTGTTTTTTCTATAGTTGTACGTTTGTACATGTAATCCCTCGCTGTTATTGTATAACTGTAGGTTTGTATGCCCTCGCTATTTATTGTGTAACTGTATATAATTATACGTTTGTATGCCCCCGCTGTTCGTTGTGTACCTGTTCTCTCCTGTTGGTTAGTGTTACGTACGTCATGTACAGGCGCGTAGCCAGCATTGAAATGAAGTGTACGCAGAAAATGGTCGGGGGTCTGGGGGTCGCCCTGAGGCCCCAGTGGGTCCAGGGCGAAGTCCTGGTTGGGGGGCAGGGGGCAAAGCACCCGGAAGCTCCTGGATTTTACGAAATGTTTCAGTCATTTTCCTTTAAAAGAAATCACGCAACATCTCGTTTCTCAAGCAAACACTTAGCAAAGTTACATGTATACTTCCATGGATACTTCAGGAAGAGAAGGATAATTTAATCAAATTAATTTTCGAATATATTGGTATTAGAAAAAAGATTCCAAGTGTGACAAGATTAAACAGAGAAGTAATTTAATAAGTGATCATTGGAGAAAAAGTATTTCAAAATATAAACGGGGGTGTGGGTCTTTATATATATTGTTAGCTTAAACAATGTGAGAGTACGTAAATTCTATAAACTGGTAACATCAGTAAAAGAAGATATTCATAAATGATCTATATAATTATTTATATGTACTTTGTTCAATACCAGGGGTAATTTGAATTTTGCCTTTTTTTTTTGTTTGTTTTTTTAGTTTATCGATATTTATTCATTACTTTAACGGATATTCTTGTATAGTCGTCCAAAAGTTAAACCCTTGTAACTTTTTCTTTAAATCAATGTCACTTACTTAGATCGCTTTCCTTCATCAAATACATGTATTTGTCCGGATAATCAGGATTACGCGGATTATCAGTTGAAAATTTTGATTCAGCAATATTTTCTTACTCAAGAATTTTGGAATTCAATTTATACAAGACTGGATTATAACGATATTCTGAACAAAATTTGAATAGAAACAATAAGACGTAAAATAATTTGAAAGACAGATAGTGCCTCTTTTTCTCCGGATAAATCTCTTTCTTTTTTATTCTTTTTCTTTCTTTCTTTTCTTTTCTTTTTTTCTTTCTTTTTTTTTTTTTTGAAAATGATGTGTACGCACTTGCGTATAGGCAGCTACGCGCCGGAATTGTAACAGTGTCCTGACACACAGCGAAAGTTTACTGACCCCCAATACATCCCCGTTATCTCGCTTATAAGTCGATTGTTTGACATACTTTTAATAAATTTACTGTACCATGAGTATACTGCTATCTACCAGAAAAACGCTGACATTAAAGGTGTCCTAATTATAACTTTTTGAGCATATTAAAGCCCGAGATAATAAGCACCACCTTCAGATTTACCTGGTCTGTATTCCCCTGTCAATCAAATAAAGTCCATCATTGGGTACTTGAAAATGATTGACATTTAGCTGCTAGTCCCTGTGTATATCTCTTTCACCTTGTTTAACACGCGTGGCCACCATCAAATTAACTTTCGGTTTTCTGATGTTTTCCGCTAAATCTCCATGATCGCAATTAATGAAGAAGCCATTTTGATGCAAAACATTTTTAGCTTGATTATAATTGATTATAATTATCTGTATTGCAAACATTGAAAAATGAAAATGCCGTCATGGGTTTAATTTAAAAATCAGGATTGTGTATTTATTTTAATAATGAAAAGTGCATAGGTGACTGAAATCTTGTTTTGATTCTTGATTTGAGACACGCCGAAAAACATTACGATTAAATAAAGGCGAATATACCCTGGTAACATTTTTTGCTTAAAATGGATAATAAGATTGAAAACAAAATGACTGATTAGTAACAACTTCGCCTGGACCAAACTTAATATTAAAATATTATCGGTAAGAGTTTCTTTCTTTTCGTTTTGTTCAACCGAGCATTTCTTGCTACATTGGTTCTTACCTCCATTCAAGGTCACAGGTGTTAAAAATAGTTTTGAAAGAAATACAGAAGTTTGCAATACATCAATATTTTGTTTTAAAGATTGTTTTTTTTTTAAAAATTATAATCTAAATTTACTTATCGATAAAATACACACATTTATAATGTAATTTTAGTTTGACGAAACCATCGTTATGGCGAATTTTTCTCAAGATACAGAAAGTACAATTTGCTAAAAACAGGACCACCGGGTCAAGACTTTTTTTTATAAACGGGAAGTAACTGTTTCTATTTGACCGTGATCGAAGCTTTAATTGCTACGATATTTACGATAATTATGAATAGTTTAATTTTAAGATTTTGAAAGGGACAGCCAAGGATGAGTATTTTACTGTTGAATTCATATCTGTATTAATTCATTTTTTTGAAACAACGAACTCAAGTCATTGCTGCTATGACGAACAATGTAAGGTACATATATACTGTATATTTTCTTCTCTTTTGACAAAAGGGAACTTATGCCCTCGTAATAAAAAAAAAAAACGGAAATATATTTAAATTTTGTCCTGGCCGCCCGTCTTTCTGTCTATCTGTTTATCTTGCTCTTTATCTGTTTGTTGTTGTTTTTTTTTTGTCCGTCCGCAAAATCTTAAACTTAGCCAATAACTTTTGAGTAGGTGGGGCTATGGATTTCAAAGGTGTGCCCCTTGTGGCAAGACCTTCCTTTGGGTAAAACATTTGACCTCTTGGCATTGACCTTCGAGTTTGACCCATTTTTTACAAAAAATACCATACTGTAGCCTTGTCCATAAATTTTGAATAGGGCTTTCAGATGTATATTCCTTTTTCGTTTTGTACCACCACATTTTACCTTTTGACCTTGTCCTTAGAGTTTGACCTACTTTTATAAAATTTAAACCTTGGCTAAAACCAACAATTTGACCTTTACCATGGAGTCTGACCTGCATATGAGAAACTTCAACCCTCATTGTAAGTTGCTATACGGGGGCATTTGTGTTTCACAAACACATCTTGTTTTTCATGTGCTTTGTCCATACGCCTAAACATTGTTTTAGATCTATTATGAAAAACAGGTTTAAGTAAAATAATAGTACATCTGTTTTCAATTTGATGATTTTATTTCCGGTCTGAATTGATGGGTTGTTTCTTTTTTATAGTTTGTGCTGTATCTGCGACACCTGGGAACCTTAAGTCATTAAAACTACTTTAAGTCAGTTCAAGGAACTGGATTAAAAACATCAGAAAATATACTCCTTTATAGCATCTATCATTTTTCTCTACGAGCCGTGACATTAATATCTATATGTTCTCTGAAATAAGAGACTGTTATAAAATCAAGTACAGATATTCCTGTGTTTATAAATGGCCACAACCATTCTAATTAGCACGTATTAATCAATTTTCGCTTTATTGACATTTCCACTAAAACGGAAAGGAAGAAGGAGGAGGATATAAGGACAGCCATGGAATACCACCACCCACACGTATTTATTTTATTTCGCCTCCTTTGTTATTTTTCGAGGTCCTCCCGTAGCTTCTCCCGTGGAAACGTGTATCAGTGAAAGGAAATTACATTCTTCATATACCAATTTTAATTTTATGTACAGGTACCTACATGTAACGCTTAGTTAATCCATAAGAATGTAAATAAATTTCCATATTGTTTACTATAATAGCTTATATCAGTACCACTCTAAAAAAAACAATTATTGAGGTCAATATACTATATATTTATTGACTGGGTTCGAGGGCAACATACGTTTTTGTCAGACCCAAGATCGAAGCAAACTGTTTGTCAAAGGCCGAAATTTTAAATCTATTTTAATTGCAATTAAAAAATGTCGGGCAAGTCTAAGGGATCGACTTTGACAGAGAGCACTAGAGAAGTTGAAATTACGAAGGGGATGAATCAATTTTTTCTCAACGATCTAGAAAGTATGTAGTCATAAACTTAGCAATTTTTCTGTACCATGTTGCCGCTTAATTAACTCACGAATAATCAGCAAAATTTATAACAGAAAATATAAAAGTCTGTCTTCAGGACATATGTATATATGGTTTTTTTGCAGTATTTAATAAAAGTACACCCTTCCTGTATTTTATTCATTAATGTGTCATAAACAGAGATTTATCTGTTCTCAGGCGATCGCCATGAGTTCATTGATATTGACTGTCATCTCCTGAAAAACGGCAGATACAGTGTGTATTGTGACGCCATAACGAGTCAGTCTCACCAGGTGCCCGTATGTTGTCAGACAGTGTGTGTGTGTATGTAACAAGGACGTATATATACTCACACTCAGACATCGTATAGTGTACACGGGCGGATAGTGTTGATAAGTCATCTTCTGTAGATTACATGTATCAGTACATCTTGTACTCACCGTCACCGTCAGTGGGAAATTAATACACTTAGTCTAACAAAAAGTACTCACATCAAATTTTCTTATGTGAGTACTACATTACTAGATACTATGTCTTGGCATTACTATGATGAATTCGTACAGAATATATATAGGAAAAAAAACAAAGCTCGAGTTTCTACAGAACAAAATAAGGGCTATTGTCACTAAATTGCTGCATATTCTCTCTGAAGTTTCCATGATTGGTTATTTGATTTTAAGGACTCCAGAACCACAGGCACTTGACGTTACTTATTTTTAAATTCACACATTTTTCTGTAATGAGACAATACATTTCTGGCTATTCGCAGCTGTTTTTGCGTAACCTCTTGTATAAATTATAAATATCCCACCTACCTTTATTATTAGGTAGGAGGTATATTTTTTATTAAAAGAAAAATAAGTAACGCCAAGTGTCTTTGTCCAGAACCTCTTTTTTCCTTGCCATCAGTTTTAAGACTTTTAACACTTTATACAACCGTTTCTCACGATAAATTAAAGTCCAAGATATTTACACCATAGACAGCTGACTTTTTTAAAAAAATAAATATTAATCGCGTGAATTTACGTACATCAAATGTGTTGTCATTGGTCATTTTACAAATTTATTTTGTTAAAACGGTCTGAGGTTGATAATAAAAGGATGGTTAAGTTTCTGACCGTCAGAATCTATGTAGTATAGTGTAAGGACAAGCAACAATTTGTCAAAGTTTCCAAAGGTTCCAACTTCACCCCCTTATCAACAGACCTATTTTAAATTCATATGAAGCATAATCTACTCAGAAACTTATAAAACTTATACATGAGGAAATGA